ACCAGGTTGGCTGTTTCAGCAGGTCACATTTCAATAGGCAGCCACTAGGGCTGGTCAAAACTCAGTCTCCAGTGTCAGGAATCTTATGTAGTGTACTCGTTTACACCCATGGAAAGTGCCTGTAAAGACGCTACCAAATCAGAACAGTAGCATTTTATACCCACTAGGCACCCAGTTTGCACCGCTGCAAATGGCTATATGAGGTGTTGGACAAGGAAGAATCAGGTCTCTGTGTGAGGCACTAGTGATTAGGAGCTAATAAGACCATAGTATGTATCTGCACTTGCCATTGACGAGAGAAATCACGATAAGTGGTTATCTGCCAATTCCAAAACAAATATAGCAGTCACCTTCCTGAGAAATGGACAGCCTTTTTTGTACCAGAACAATCTGGGCTTTTCAGGAATATGCCTAACACAAAAGCGTCATGGGACACTCAACAGAGGATGAGTTACAGTAGGAGGAGAGAAATCTGTAAGTTCTCATGCCCCCCATCTGAGTGCAGTGCCATTCTAGATCATGTTAAAGTTTGACTGGTTCCAAATTGTGGAGGCTTCAGCAGTTCCCACCAAAATGAAGTACCAGTTGAATTTTGACGATTTAAATCTATCATTTAAAAAAAATGAAGACTCGTTCTCGGTTGTTTGTTCAAACCAATATTTTATTAAAGAGTGTTAAAATATTTAGGGAAATAGTCACAAGGGCAGCTTTTGGCTTCTTTGAACTATCGCAGTTCCATGGAAGTCCAAACACAAAAATATACATTAACTAAAAGACTTATTTGGCATTGCTTAGGTCCAGCCCAGGACAGAGGAGAGCCACACAGGCCTCCTGCTGGTGTTCCCTGGGCCCAACCCAGGTGAGGAATGAGGAGCCCACTGCACTGGGCAGCCTGATGGTTGAGGTGGGGAGTAGACTGTGGCTCCTCTTGTGGAGGTTGGGGGCTTCGCCCCCCAGCCACAGCAGTGCGCCTGTCAGGGGCATGGTGGTGGGGCTTCTCTCCTTGGTCTGACACTGGGGCTGAATGCCAAGGGATAGGGGCTTGGAGCAGGGGGGCCATTTACTGGGGCCGGTGGCAGGCAACATGGTGAGCCCCATCCCCAGCTGGCCACTTCCTTGATGGTATGGCTGCCTACAATGGTCACTACAGTATACTGTCCTTTGTGCTTGCTGCCCCCAGTGGTGACTGTGAGAATAGCATCCCTCAGCTCAGCCCTCTTCCCTCTCCATGTTATGGAAAACAACCGAATTCCAGGTACATCCCATTTTCCTGGTACAACTAAACCCTGATCATGCTTGATATTAGGATAAAAGGAAGCTGCATACCACATTTGGTGCACCTCATTCTTACCCTTTAGGAGTTCTTGAACAAATGGACTTGCAGACAGACAACCGACTCATAGACAGACGCACAAATCTCTAATATATATATATATATATATATAT